CTTTGTCGCTGTGTTACGGGATAACGATCAGAGGAGACGGTATGGGAAGATCCATTGAGCATGGAACCTTTGAACCACTTCATCCCGTTGGGGAGAGAAGTAGTATGTCCCACAGATGTTCGCCATTTGGGCAGAGACCGCCACCGCGCGCCGCTGGCTCGGCGGCGGCTCCTTCCTTCGCACGCGCGGGGGCCTCCGGGACGGAGGGGCTGCTCAGGCCGGCGACGCAGCAGTGCGACGCGCAGGGAGCGCGGGCGGCCGGGCGCCCGACCGTCGAGCGGATACGGCACGCGGCCGCTGCACGGCAGATCATAGAATAATTTGAACATATCTAACGTCTTGACTAACATAAACTTAATTAATACAGACACACATGAACATTTTGCTGATCAAACTTACCGGTTGCCACAAGTTTAGCATTGCACGTAAACTAACCTCTGTGATATCAGCTGTAGCTTGTGGCTCCATTAGTTCAATTACGGCACACAAATCCCAAAATTCATTGGCTGATGCCACATCGGATGCTGTGATGCCTTCCTGCAATTATGGAAATCTTAAAATGTTAGGTATATAGAAGGCTGTGTGACATACCACATTCCTAATCTTTGCATCAGCTCCGTGTTCCATGAGACCTATTACCGTATCCAGATGACCTCCCTTGCAGGCAAACATCAGAGCTGTGTATCCAGTTAACTAATAGGCTTGTCATAATGAATCTCAACAATATTAGGAACATTACTGATTGCTGGAGGTCAGGATTAGCCTGATAATTAAGTAGGAGTTTTGTCATCTCTGAATTTCCATCATCACAACACATCATCAAAGCAGAAAGTCCTTCCTATGAAGGAAAAAGGCATTGTACCATTGAAGTCGTATGTATAAAATGTGGCAGAAAACATGGCAAATAACAGACCAAACAACTACAGTGGAACTTCTGATAAGGGACCCTCCAAGATAGGGATGACCTCTCTGCCAATACTTTACTCTAACAAGGACACCACTTGTTCACCCCATCAATTGACTCTAGAGATAGGGACGACCTCTCTAAAAAGTCACTGGCCCATGTTTTCCCTCGTTCAGAGGTTCCTTCAGAGTAAAAGGTCAGGTCATGAGTAACTTTATGTGGAGTTGAAGGTTAATCACAAACGCAAACACATAACATTAATACCTGACCTGCTCCAATCTGTTACATCACTCCTGCCCTTATCAATTCCTTGACACACTGCCACAGTGTCTTTCTTACGACCGCCAACAGCAGTGGAGTCCTGTCCAAAACGTGTGAGGAATAGTAGACAGCTGGCAAACATAGGGACTGATAGAGGCATACCTATGTTGCAGCCATTTGGGTAGGCACCAGCTCCGAGAAGGACTGAAAGCCGTGGTTCAAGTTGTTGTTATAAAAGCCATTATTAGTGCCGAGTTCTGATACTGTAGTAATAAAATCATAGTTGCATCTACCATTCATAACTGTCGGGGTTGGACCGTAGCTAACACCACCAATGGTATACACATACTTTATTAATGTTCTCTAGTTTTGCTCCATGCTCCAGCAACTTTTCCACAACTTTGACATGTCCTTCGTAAGATGCCAAAATCAGCGAACTCCACCCATCCTAGCACATAGAAAGTAATGTAACTTGTGAATAAACGGAAAACTTTTTACATGCTTCAAATTCACAATAGAATATTCATTGAATGTGTAGTCTTCCACTTGGTGGTTGGCTTCTGGACCATGGTATTATTAAATTTGTTGAAAATTTGAGTGAAGACTGTACTGGTGTTAGGCTTACCTCACTCTGCAGGTCTACTGTGGCTCCATGCTGTAATAACTTGTCCACCACCTCCACATGTCCAAAATGAGATGCCATCATCAGTGAACTCCACCCATTCTGACATGACACACGGAGTAGTCTGAATCGTACTTTCAGTTGGTTTCTACGCCATAAGTCTGGAACGTAGTACTTTTACGAAATTCACTAAACATAAAATTAAGCCGGTGCAGCGCTGAACCTTTTGGTATCACTCTTTTGTTGTCCTGTTGCGCGTGGTGGCAGAAAACGTACTAACAGACGGACAAACCATAGATAATGATCCTAATCGTCACCAATATAGTGCATATGTAAAGCTGTTGTGAGGGGAGCTATATACCATGGGCATTTTCGGGTAAAAAGAAAGACATTGGGGCTGGCTTCTCAAGCAATGAAGCCACATGTTTCTATTATTTTGAAATTGATGGATGCTACATGTATATATGTAACTGATAAAACAGAATGCAATCTGCTGTGTTGCTGATCGTGCACCCGACCTAGACGACAGACTTTTTCAGAGAACTCAATGAAGTATGCATGTTCCCTTCACCTCACTGTTCTGAGATTACGTTTTGCACACGCGTTTGCTTGCATTGCGTATGTACATATAGTGTGTGTACCTCTGTTTGCAGGTCTACTGTGGCTCCATGTTGTAATAACTTGTCCACAACCTCCACATGTCCAATCTGAGATGCAGCCATCAGTGAACTCCACCCATTCTGACAGAGTAGTAGGCAATGAATTTGGCAAAAAAATGGTTTTGATTCAGTATCTATGATTAGCCAATCTGAGTCATTTATCATCTAGGTGGTTTATAGAGTATTATACTAACATGAATACATATCATGCCATGCTAAACCTGACGCTGAAATTGTACAAGTTTGCATTGAGTAGACATGATTAACCTTTCTCATGTGGTCAGTTACATTTATTCAATGTGTTTTGCAATTGATACCTACTATATTGAAGATCTACTGTGGCTCCATGTGTTGTTTCTGTCTTTGTAATAACTTATCCACACATCCACATGTTCCATTCCTAGAGGCAGCCATCAGTGAACTCCACCCATTCTGACGGATAGACCACAGAGTAGTAGGTATTGAATTGGCAAAAACAATTTGATTCCGTATCCATGATAAACTTGGTTTTTCTACGCCAGAACGCAGTACTTTAACGAAATTCACTAAACAAAAATCAGCCAGTGGTAGCGTCTAAACCTTTTGGTATCACTCTTTGTTGTCCCGTTGCGTGTGGTGCAGAAAACGTTTGGGTCATTTTTTGTTCCATTTGGTAACTAGAGGACAACCATATGTGATAATGTATCCTAATCGTCACCATATATAGTAACATATGTAAAGCTGTGTGTGAGCGGTAGCTATATCCCATGGGCATTTTCCGGTAAATGACTAACGATATTGGGCTGGCTTGTCTCAGACAATGAAGCCACCTGTTTTCTAGTGGCTATTTTGATAAATGATGTGATGCTACATGTATATGTAACTGATAAAAGCGGAATGCAATCTGCTGTGTTGCTGATCGCGCACCTGACCTAGACGACAGACTTTTTCAGAGAGCTCATAGTATGAAGTATGCATGTCCCTTCACCTCACTGTTCTGAGATTACGTTTTGCACACGCGTGTGCTTGGTGACATTGCTATGCACATGTG